AAGCTAGGCGAGATGCGGCTTAATTGCTTTTACCTGTAGGCTGAGATGGGCATGGAGGGCTTTTTGGGCTTGGGTTTTTTGGGACTTTGGCTTGATTCTTTTGCTTTGGACTTTTTGGTGTGGGAAGCTTTTGGAAGGGAAAAGAATTGCCGAAGGGAAAAGTATGGCTAAAGAGAAGTGGATAGAAAGTCTGCACTGAGAACTTTAACAAAGGCCTTAGAAAAGAAAAGCCAAAGAGAACATGGGACAGTGCAAAATAGAGGACCAAGACTTTGCAAGTCTGAGCACTGAAGCTTTAAGAAAGCTAAAGAGAGAACGCTAAAAAAAAGCTGCAAGCCTGGGGGCAAAAGACTTTTAAGAGTGATTAGGCTGAAGATAAGCTAAGACAAAACATGGGACCGTGGGAGTCTCAGGAAAGAGGTTTTAAGCAAGGTTTTAAAGAACTGCATGGAGTAAGGCCTTAAAGAATCAAGATAGAGAAGCAATGACCCCACTTTCTGTCTGTCTGTCTGTCTATCTATCCTGTGTCTTTTCTGAATCTCCAGTCGCCCCCAGTTAAGCCCAGTTAGGTTCAGTAATAACCAGGAGTGAGAGAGAAAAAGCTCGCACTAACAAAGGAGAGGGCAAGAAAATAGCGCCCCCTCCAGTGCATTTTACAACCAAAAAAAAAAAAACTGGAGAAGTAGATTTACCCAGATATTTCAGGGAAATGATATTACAGATTTTTTGTACCTTTTAAAAATATGTTTTTTTTAAAAAAAAGGAGAAAAAGAAAGAAATGTATTAAAAAACTAAAGCATTCTAGAAGGGCCGAACCCTCCTAATGGGTGAGCTGGTGCCCTTCTTGGGGGTCCCATAGTACCTGAGCCAATAGGAAGTAACCATTTGGCTTCCCAGTAGTCCAAGTTGCTGTGCACATCTGCCATTGCTGCCTAGTCAGAGACCCTCCCACCACGTGCAAATTATTTCACCTTTTCATCTTTCCCTTCAGTGGGTTTTTGATCTTGGTACAACTCACAAGAAGAGGGCTTGGTGAGGTCATGATGTTTTTCAAGAAGAAAGCAAAACTGAGGTGTGAGATCTCACTGCACAGCATGGGGGAGGAGGGAGAGGGAGAGGGATCCCAGCGCACCAGGCCATGCCCAGCAAGGTGTGACTGGACTACAGAAAGGGCTAGAGGAAGGCTTCACTGTGGAGGTGACCTTCACCTTGCCCTATGGTCAGGATAAATGACGCTCATTTTAGCATAAAATAGTGTTTTTTAAAAGGATGAAGCTCCCGACCAAGGATTTAATTTCCAAGGAGTTACAGAAATAAAGTTAAGGTAACATTGAGCCAGCTGAAAATCTCTTATAAAACTTCCTGAGTATGATATAGTGAGGACACATGTGGATTCTGGAGTCAGAGAACTGAGGTGGAATCTGCCTCAGTCACATATTGGCTCTGGGACCTTCAGGAAGTGATTAAACCATGACCAGGACTCAGTTTTCTCAGATGTGGACTGAGTATAATACCCCTTTCCTCCTAAGGTAGATGAGAAAACTGAATAATTTTCTATTCTGAAAATATTTACTATGGTATCCCAGACATTGTAAGTGCTCAATAAATGTTGTATATAGCAGATGTCTCTCAAGTTTCTCCCCTATCACTTCACAGAACCCTGGAAGGTAAATGTCATAATGCTCCTTTCAGAGAAGATACAGCAGCAGAAGTTCAGGAAGGTTAATTAACTCAATATCATACCAAACTTTCACAGGAAGACACCTGACTCCATAGTTTAGGGTATTTCCCACCAGAGAATAGGTGATCAACAGCAGCAAGTCATTTAACATCTTTTTAAAAAATGATACAATATCACAGCATTTATACAACATTCTTATGTGCTCTCTTTGCAGTATTCATCTTTTACTGCAATAAGAAAATTAGTAGCCTGGCGCAGTGGCTGAAGCCTGTAATCCTAGCTACTTGTGAGGCAGAGATCGGGAGGATCAAGGTTTGAGGTCAGCCCAGGCAAAAGTTTGTGAGACTCCCATCTCAACCAAAGGCTGGGTGTGGTGGTGCATGCCTGTCATCCCAGCTACATAGGGAAGCATAAGTAGGATAGTGGTCCAGACTGGCCTGGTGTAGAGACCCGATCTCAAAAATAACCAATGCAAAAAGGGCTGGGGATGTAACTGAAGCGGTAGAGCACCTGCTTAGCAAGCACGAGGCTCTGAGTTCAACCTCCAGTACCACAAAAAAAAAAAAAGGAAAAAGAAAATTAGTAGAGGATATTCCATCTTTAGAACCATGGAATCTAAGACTTTCATTGTTTGAGAATACTTACAGTTTGTGATGATGCGAAGAAATTAATCCCTGAGCTGTAATCAATAGTATTACTCACTTTTGTTGCTTTTCTCTTGCTGGTATCTCTGGAAATGAATCACTCCCAATCAAAAGGCAACAGTGACTTTGTATTTTATTTCCTTGTCTGGGCACTAGATGTCACACTAAGTAAAGTTTTAGAAGTTGCTTTTCAAAGCAGGGTGTGGCAGTGTCTAAACTTTAGCTGTGAAAAATTACAACCTTTACATATATATAAAGTTTAGCTTTATATTTCTAGTAAAATGCAGTAAACGAAACAAAAAGATTTGCCCATCAGAAAATAGAGTTGGAACAGCAGCTGACTGTAGTGACTGTTAAGCAGACATATTCCACTTATATGCACACAAAAAATGGTGTTATTAGAGGCAAATATCCATGGTCCTTTGCCCTCTGAGATGGGGAGCAGGTTTCTGCAGGAAGAAGCAGACACAACTCTCTAACCTGCAAGGAGTAGAGACAGGGAAAGAGGCGATAATGACTGTGAGTTTCATTAAACCTTGCCATTCTCAGGACATGTGTGATTGCCTTTCCCGAATGGCTTAAAGCAAAGACGATGAAGTGATGGCGTCTCCCAGCCTCCTCAGACGCTTCATTCCTTGATCTGGGCTCTCAGAAATTCAGATGAAAATTGTAGGTCGACATTTGGATGTGTGTTCTCCTTTGGGAAAATACATGTGTTTAAAAAAAAGTGTTAAGGACTGGGCATCCAAAGGAATTAGATGATTCTAACTTAGATGTGTTACTGAAACTTCAGCAAGTTCCCATTGAAACGTTTGGAATTCATTGGACACAGTTAATTGAAGTCTTAGTTTTAGTGGTTGTAATCAAGTCTTAGTTTAGCATTGTATTTTTTCAAGTAACTCAGCAATGAGTTTAAACTAATTATCTGTATCATGGATAGACAGATATTTCTATTTGTAACTGAAGTTGTAAATAACATCTCTAAAGGGTGAATGAAGGTTTTCTAGGGCATGTATAGTGAGGTCATTTCCATGGATATAATTGGTGAATATCAGTGCCTTGCTTGTGTTAAGAGGTTCTGATAAATAAGGTGACACTTAATAAAATACTAGACTTTGGGCTTGGAATTCGTCCACATCTTCCTGATGTTCTGGAGATATAGAGATGACTGGTTGTTTTAACAGTGCTTTCTAATTCTAGGTAGGTCACTAGTTCTAGAATCCTGCTGTGACTTGGGACTTCTCCCCTTGTATTAATATTGCTGCAGCCTGGTGGGTTTTGTTGTTGTCATTGTTGGCAGCACCGGGGTTTAAACTCAGGGCCTCATGCTTGCTAGGCAGGCGCTCTTACCGCTTGAGCCTCTCCATCAGCCATGTGTGTGGGGGGTGGGGTTGAGATAGCCTCTCACTAACTGTTTGCCCAGGGCTGGCTTCGAACCATGATCTTCCTGATTTCAGTCTCCTGTGGGCCGGGGAGTCAGTGAGCACTAGGATGGAGGCAGCCCAGGCTGTTTCTCCCCTAAGCAGTGAAGCAGCCACAAGAACTCTCAGTAGCTCTTCATGCCCTCCTCAGGTGTGAAAACCCAGACAGGCTTTAGCACACTATGGTGTGCACATAGGAGAACCCACGTGTGTTGAACAAAATGGAACAAGACAATTTCTCCATCAAGTTGAGAACTGGGTTTGTTCACTGTGGGCGGCAAGGTCATATAGGAATTCACCGCTGAGTTATTGAGTCTCCACTGGGCCAGGCTTTCAGAAATGTAGGAATTGTCCCTGTCGGGTGGAATAAAACAACACCCTTCAGCTTGGTTTAGTTTTGGACTGTCACTGCCTACAACTTGTCAGAGAGGCTGCGTGGCCTTCCTGGTTTTCCCACTGACTTGCCTTTTGATTTAGAGACATGAGCTCAAGACCCTTTGCAATTTATTTGCACTTCTTCATTTTTTTTTTATTTTGTTTTTTGAGACTAGGATTCACTGTGTAGCTGAGGCTGGCCTTGAACTCTTGGTCATCTGCTTAACCTCACCAATGCTGGGATTACAGTTGTGTACCACCACCCCCAGTTGCAACAACACTTTGTAGTAATATGTTGAGGCTCAACCAATATTAATTGAGTGCCTGCAGTGTGCTAGTCCTACCAGGAATCAAAACCTGAACAACATATATCTGCCATAAGGTGCTTACCAAACAGTAAAGAGAAGCAGGTGTAGTGGTGCCTGCCTGTAATCCTAGCACTTAGGAGGCTGAGGCAGAAGGATAGCTAAACTTCAAGGCCAGCCTGGGCTACATAGTGACAGAGAGAGAGAGAGAGAGAATAAGACAGCCACACTTTCTGAGGCACTGTTTTGAGTGACTTGAGTTTGGAACCCCAGGAGAAGCAGCAGAGAGTGCAGACCTTTCCATTACCTCATTTGTTCCCCACAACAACCCGTTGAGGACATGGAGTCTCAGAAAGACTGGTACTGTCTCCAAGGTTACTCAGCCAGGCAGTGATGAGGCCAAGCTCACCTTGGAACTCACAATGCAGGGGTTCCAAAGCCTCCCCTGTTATCCACTTCCTTTCTTTCCATCAGGATGGGCATCTGGCCTTCAGGTGACTTTGTTCGATTAGCCAGAGGATTTCAGACCATGGATCTCTCAGGTGTCTGAGAACCATATTTTTATTTCCCTCAGGTCATGGATTGACAGCAGTCAAGGAAAAGGCAGGGGCCACGCTACGGATTCACAGTGTACATTCTGGGCCTTCTGAAGGGGCGCCACCTGTGACTGAAGGTGAGCGATGTGAGGACTGTGAGAGATATGCTGTGTGCACCATTAGAAGGTTCCCAAGTTCAGATGGGCAAAATGAACTTGAACTCAACAGGATTGTTTCTCTCTTTAGCTGCAGATGTGAGCACAGATCTGGCTCCTGCAGGAAGCACCCCCACCTCACCATCGCCTGGTTCGAGGGGCGTACTGTCAGCCCTCACCCACGCTGTTCACCACACTGTGAGTCCACTGCTTCCTCTGTTGTCCCTTTCATGCTTCCATTTGCCAGTGACCTAGATACATCAGAGGGAACATGGCCTTGTTCATGACTTTGGATTACGGCTTTGCTATGCCTTCTGCTGCAGAATAGGTGAAACCTTGGATCCAAAACAGTAAGGGTAAAATGAAATGTGGTTTATGTTTAAAAGAAGAGCTGTTTGAAACGTATATTTTTCAGTCTAACAGTGTCCTTTCCAAGTGCTGCAAGGACAACCTCTGGTTGGAGGAGTGCAGCTGTTTTCCTGGATGGACTGTTTCTCTTAACCCTCTATTTTTAAGTTTTTTATTTTATTTTATATTTAGGACAAGAGTCTACCTATGTTGTCCAGGCTGGCCTTGTACTCACTATGTAAGCCAGGCTGGACTTGAACTTGTGATCCTCCTCCCTCTGCTTCCTCAGTGCTGGGATTGTAGGCATGTGTCACCACACCCAGTTTTAACCCTTGATTTAAAAAAAAATTCTAAAACCATTCATATTTTTAAAAAGGAATAATAGACCAGATATATTTTTAAAGTGTTTCCATTAAACTAAGATCAATTTTCTTCCGCCACCCCTACCTCCCAATTCCCACTCTGTCCTTTCTTTGCATAACCCTAAATTTATTCCCTCAGGTCCTTAACTCTCTCTCTTTTTATTTACTTATTTTAATTGAAATGTAGTTTATTTTTTCACTGACATATCTGCCTCCTTCTTAAAGGAAGCTTTCTTTTGGCAATAAAACCTGATGAATAATGAATGAAAAAAAGGGGGAGGCACCCCAACTGAGATGAGGCAGTTTAGAAAGGATTTATTTTCTTTTATCTAGAGCAAGTGACTAGTTTGTCTAGAAAAATGGGTTATGTTCCATTTATTCACTCATCCAGTGATTCACTTTAGAAAGAGGTACAGTTGGCCCGCACTATGTGTCAGGAACCCCACTGTCTGCGGGGTATCAGCTGGCAAACTAGAGGGTGTGATGTCTTGCGTGGCAGGGACACCACAACAGTCAAGTTCACTGTACTGCAAGAAGGGGAGAAAGGGCTATGAACGACACAGGAAGGTGTCTTTCCCAGACTGTGGTGTCAGCACTTCAGGAATATAGCAAGCGACTGCTCCCCTCCTTGCTGCTTGAGGACCTCTAGACTGGGCAGGGTGAAGGACAAACACCAGTGCCAGTCACATAGGCTACTGTGGAGTTTGCAGAACTGGGGATGGAAGGAGCTCTTTCAGCATCTCTGATGAAGAGGGGAATTCATAGCCTTTCTGAGCCACTGTACAGGGCACCTTCAGCTTCCTGTCTGTGTTATCTCCAACTTCCTTCCCCCAGCTTCCTGACACCACCCCCCCAGGCTTGCACAAACTCAACTTTATTCTCTACTAAAGTGACAAGATGTGAGGGACAGTAAATCAAAGTAAGGATGAATTGCCAGTAAAGCCCATCAGCTTCCCAAGGTTTGTTCTTGGAAAGTCTGTCTTACTGCTTGATTATTGATTGACTCCCAGATTGGAAAACTAAAGTCTAAATGCCCAAGATGAAAATGACTGATAAGGTATATTAGTTCAGTAAAGTTGAATATTGCTATTTAAATATGAAGATTGAAAACTGTATATAGATAATAATATAAAAGTGTATCGTTTTCATATAAGGTGGGGAAAATATGGGTGTATTCATATTATAATTATAGTTGAACAGTTGAGGTATATGTACAAAGAGGTTTCAAAGAAATGTATGATTCTGTTCATGTGAGCAGTTTATGTTTTAATTTTTGTTAAAAGGAAAACAGTGGCTGACAAAGGGACTTTGCAGTGTGCTAACTGTGTAATCGAAATATGTGAAAATCAAGCCTCTTATTCCATTAATATGCTAATTATAGGTCGTTCTTGCTAGTTTCTGATTGTATCCATGAGCCATCTAAAACAGCCTGATGTCCAGGGCCCTAAATTAAGGAATTCCCTAAGTTAACAAGAGTATTTGACATTTTAATAAACTGCTCTAAATAATTCTGTTGCTCAGTTTAAAATTCCTTCAAACGAAAAACAGCAATTGGGTCACCTGTTACTTTTACGTCATTTACACATACCTACTCATATAAACAGAGCCAGTAAAACTAATCCCTAATGTACTCTGGGTTTTTCTAAGCATCATTTTTAATAACATTGCAAGCCTTCCAAATTATAGAACATGTGGTGTTCCGAAGAAAAGAAAATAGGATTAAATGGATGATAAATCTCCCAGTGAGAAAAAGTTGTGGCTTTATATTGATTTTAATATTTGAAGACAGTGCCAGTTACCTAGGAGTTGCTGACTGCTGCAAAACATCCAGATGTAAAAAATCTAATCTTGTGTAATTATGTCACGAGCAGGGCAAAAGCGTCTTAACTGGGGGTCTTGACGCTTTGGAATTCATCGGCAAGAAAACCATGAATGTCCTTGCAGAAAGTGACCCGGGATTTAAGCGGACCAAGACACTCATGGAGAGAACTGTTTCCTTATCCCAGGTTGGACTCATTCCTTTTGCAATTTTCTGTCAATAAAATAAATAAATTTTTATTTATCTTTTTTGAATAGGTCATTTAAAGCAGGTGCTCAAATTCAAATGGCATGTCTTAGAGGAGACTTTGCACTTTAACTTTTTTTTTTTTGTAGTGTACAAAAGCTCTTTTCCAAGGAAGGTTTTTATTTTATTTACTTTTTTTTATTGTTATGCTGGGGAGGGGAGTACATTGTGGCATTTACAGAAGTTCTTACAATATATCAAACATATCATGTTTGAATTCACCCCTCCATCTTTCTCCCTTATCCCCTCCCTGCATTCCTGGAATAGTTTCAACAGGCATCATTTTTCCATTTGTATACATGTGTACACAGTATTTGTACCATGTTCAACCCTCCCACTGGTACCAACACCCCAGGGAGAACATGTTCTACCCTCCTGTTCTCTGACTTTAAAAAAGAAAAAAAAATGACATTTTTGTTTGTTTAAGATAACTACACAGGGAGTTTCCTTGTGATATTTCCATGTATATATGTGTTATAACCCAATTGGTTCATCTCCTCTGTTTTTCCTTTTTCTACCTTTGGACTTGAACTTTGAGCAATGCTGAAACTGTTGATTTGGGGACACTGGTAGATGGACTAAATGCGTTTGGCATTAGGAGACAAGCATGAACCTTTGTGGGTGGGGGTGGAAGGTTATAGCTTGAATATGAAATGTCCCCCTCAGGCTCATTTTTTTAAAGTTTGGTCCCTAGCTGTTGACACATTTTTGTGAGGTAGCAGAAACTTTAAGAGGTGGGGCTTAGCTAAAGGAAACAGGTCACTAGGAGTGTGTCCTTGAGGGGTGTATATTGTCCTTGGCCCCTTCCTCTCTCTCTGCTTCCTGTCTGTCTTGGTGGTCAGCCTCACCTCAGGCGCAAGGTAATGGAGCCAGCTGACCATGACTGAAACCTCTGAAATCATAGCAAAATAAATATTTCCTCCTTTAAAAAAAATGCAAGTGGCACAAAAAAAGAGTAGAGAACAAAAAGTGAGTTTCTGATACACTTTCCCTCACACCTGGCCACTTAATTCCTTGTGGGAGATGACCACTGTTAACAGTTTCTTATGCATGCTTTCTATTATCATACACCTGTAGATTCATATAGAGGCACAAACAGAGATATAATTACATCTGCTGCTCTACATATAGACAGGTGTACATCTGTACATGTACACACACTGTTTCAATCAAATGGTAACATAGTAACCATATTCTTACATATTTTGCTTTATTCACTGAATAATTTCTTGAAAATTTTTCCATTTATGGCATTGTATGTATCCCCAGATATACCACTTAATAGGTGCATGACCTTAAGGGGTTACTTAACCCCTTCGTGCCTCAGTTTACTCCTTTGGACACTAAGGGACCACATTCATTCCTACTGCTAACTTTGTTGTAGGGTTTAATGAGTTAGAACAGAACCTGGCACAAGCATGGATGTATCTGTGTGTATGTACACATGTACATGTATAAATTGGATTCTGATTAAGACAGTGTGATGGAGAAAATAAGACTGAGTCCAGAAACGGGCAAATTCTGTCTTTTTTGGCTGTTAAAAAATAAGATGTGCAGTAGATTGGTTTCTCAGGTTACTTTGGTTTCATGCCACCTTCATAATTTTTATTACATCTGCATGTAGCCTACTGTTAAAGGGTAGCACTGCTCTTAGAAATGTGTCGCCCAAGGACCACAGTGGCCATCTGCAGTGCTCTCATCACACATCCAGACCACTGGGGCAGGTACAGCATGGAACATTCTGGAACACACCTGAGCATTGCACCTGTAATTCATATGGCCTGCTTCTGCTGGGTCACTACAACACTGTGGACTTTACCTCCTTCCAAACAGTAATTTTTCTTTTTTCTTTTTTTTTGATAGGATCGGAGTTTGAACTCAGGGCTTTGGGCTTGCAAAGCAGGCGCTCTACCACTTGAGACACACTTGCACTCCAGTTATTTTGGAGCTGGGGGTTTCACAAAATATTTGCCTCGGCTAACCTCAAACCATGTCTTCCCAATCTCAGCCTCACTAGCTGGGTTACAGGCATGAACCACAGGGCCCTGCCTGAACAGTAATTTTTATTCATTCACTCACTCATTCATTCATCCATTCTTTCTGCCCTGTTTTATCCAAAATGGATAAAAATTCCTGTACTTTAAGAACTTTTCTAGGGAGGAGAGACAGCAAGCAATAGACATTATTTAGTATTTTAGAAGATAATGAGTGCTGTGAAGAAAAAAAGACAACATCCAACAGGTGGAAGACAATCAGGAACTGGGAGGGAGGAGCAGGGTCAGTAGTAAATAGGATGATGGGCATGGAGACAATGGCACGTGAGCAGATATATGGAGTTGATGATAGCATTGACCGTGCTGACACCTGGATGAAATACATCCCAGGCCGAAGGAGACACACATGCAAAGGCCCTGAGGCAGCAGTGTCTGGAATGCACAGTGACCAGCAAGGATGCCATGTGATGGGAGAGGAGTGAGCTACGATGAGAGTTGTTGAAGATGAGGCCAGAGTGGTGGTAATAGGACACAGGTGATGGTAGATCATGGAGGACACTTGTGAGGACTTGAGTTTTACTGTTAGTGAAGAAGCAAGACTATTGCAGCATTTGGAGAAGAGGAATGACAGGAAATGACTTGTACTTTAAAAAGATCGTATTGTCAGTATGTTGAAAATACATTGGGTGAGGCTGGGCATGCTTGTAATCCCAGATACTTCGGAGACAAAGGTAGAATAATCATTGTCCAAGGTCACTTGGGTGAAACCATGACACCCTATCAAAAACAAACTAAAGGAAAAAGAACAGGGCATGGCTCAAGTGGTAGAGCACTTGCCTACCAAGCACAGGGTCCTGAGTTCGATCTCCAGTACCACCCCCGCCAAAAAAAAAATAGACTAGATGGAGGGAGGGCCAAGGGGAGGGAGACCATTTAGAGTGTGTAACATTCCAGGTCCTCTCAGAAGCAGATGCCAAGATCAGCTCAAATGTGCAAGGACTTCACTAGTGGAAATAAGGTGAGAGAACGGGGAGGAGCCCCCAGAAGGATGGGAGGACTGTTAGACCAGGAGCCACGTGTGGCTCCAGTGAAGAGGGAGGGAAGACTGGAAATGTCCTAGCCTGCCATACAGCCTCCTAGAGATGGGACAGAGCTGTGGGAGGGTCCTTCAGGCAGTCTGCCAACAAGAGTAAGGTGACCTCCACTTTCCACCTTGTTACATATTTTATAAAAGGCTAGAAGAGAGGTCTTTGATGGTACCTTCCAGCACTAAGAAACAGTAAGTGTCTGAGGTGGCAAGTCTGCTCATTGCATTAGGTTTCATCATCATGCATTGTGTACATGTATCAAATTATCATACTGCACCTCATGAACATCTGTAATCATAATGTGTCATATTTTAAGAAAAAGTCTACTGACAAAGGAGTCCCTCCATCTCCAGGACCTGGTCTGCTTCAGTGTCCCTGCCACAGTGGTGATTGGCGGTGAGAAGTGAGGGAGGCTGAGGGATGGATTTGAAGCCCTTGGTCACTTAGCTCCTGGAGCAGGAGGGAGATCTGAAGGGTCACTCCGCCAGCCCAGGAAGCACCTGCTGTGATCTTATCACGAGATGAGATGGCTCAGAGCAGTGTCGAGGTGCCTGCTTATGGCACAATTTGAAAATAGGTCTGGACTTCTTGATGGAGTATGAGCTGGGAGATAAAGGGAGTGAGAGTCAAGTATACTCCAAGGTCTTCAGAACAACAGGAAGGATGAAGCTGTCATCAGCTGAGTTAGGGAAGTCTTTTACAGTGTTCCTTTACACTAAAGAAATTGTGTCAGTCAGTTTTCTAGTACTATGATAAACAGCTTAAAAGGAGGGCGTGTTTATTTTGGCTCACAGTTTCAAAGGTTTCAGTCCATGGTCAGCTGACACCATGGCTATTGGACCATGGTAAGGTAGGACATCATGGTAGGAAATGTGTGGTGTGGCAAGTCTGCTCACCTCATGGGAGCCAGGAAGCCAAGAGAGAGAGTAAGGGGCCACGCATCCCAATATCCCCATCAAGGGCACACCCCCAATGACCTAACTTCCTCCCACTAGGCTCCCACTTGCTAAAGGTTCCACCATCTCCCAGAAGCACCACAGACTGACCAAGCCTTTAACACAGAGCCTTTGGGGGGCATTTCAGATCCAAAGTATAGCAGGAGTATACAACCATAGCAACCAGAAATACTCACATGTGTGCCACCTAAATTGCTCATGTGTTCTATTCCAGAAGCAAAGGGAACATGTTTTGAGAAACATAGGGACATGGTGGTTCTCAGATGCCACTGACCAAGTCTCCACATCATCCCTGCTGTTTAAACCCATCCCCATTTCTTCTCCCAAGGGAAAATGGAACTGGCATCTTTTATCAAGGGGATTGTCCTTAAGGCAGATTTGATCCCACTCTCCACTTCATCTTTGCTTCCCTCTTGCCAAAAGTGCAAATTCAGAGGTGGAAGTTGGCATGGAGAAAAGGCATAATCTCAGAGTCACTTTTTTATGTCACCCCCCCCCCAAGCCCAAGGGGATAACTGATTTTTATTGCAAGTGTTAAAAACTTACAAGAGATAGTTTCATTGCATTGTTTTGAAAACTTAAAAATGCTAATTCAGTCTTAAAGAGAGACAGGAGGGAGAATTCTTTCCACAGCCCAGTGGATTCTTGGCTAACAACCTCAAGAACCCCGAAGGAGAATGGGGCTGAATGTTTTATTGGCACACAATAAACACCAGAGTCTATTCTTCCCCTGATCTTCCCCTGTGACCTTGTGGTATTGCCCGGTATATTTATGGTGCTCTGCACAGATGTTAGAGACCACTATAAATGTAATGCCCCAGTAAACTTAATGAGAAGCCCCATAAAAGATGCTTAAAATCATCGAAAGCAAGTGCAGAAATTGGGAGTGACTGATAGACTTGTTCATTTTCTCACCTTTTTATTTAAACAACAAAAGATAACTGGAGGGATTGGGGGTGTGGCTCAGCAGTAGAGCACTTGCTTAGCATGTGCAAAACTCCATCCCCAGCACTGCAAAAATAAATCAGTCAATAAATAACTGGAGGAAAGTCATTAATGTGGGCGGGAACTCAGTGTGGTCACGTTTCTGGACACCAGCCTGTAAACTGATTAATATTCAGTACCTAGTGGTGAATACATTATGAGTTTATAGTCATTCATTATTTTCATGGAAGATATCTAATAATTCTATACACAATAGTTTTTAAATCATAACAGAGATAAATCAGACCAGCTTATTTCTCTTTTGAAAACTGCCTAGGTGCAGAATTTTCAATTAATCCTGTCACAAGGGATTAGACTTTCCCAGCATGCTTAAAACTTGTTCATTTAAAAAAATTCAGGCATTTTAGGAAATAAGGAAGTTAGCCACACACACACACACACACACACACACACACACACACACACACGGGAAACACTTCCGGGGAACCCATTTAAAGCTTTTTCTATGCTCCTTTCTAATCTTATTTCTGGACATAGAAGTTTTGCTTCTTTTTGCCCTGCAAAAACATGAACACATGTTTATGAACATACAAAATGTGAATATGTAAAATTCAAAATGCAATATTATGTAAATATTGTCGATAGCTTCAATCAAAAAACAATTTTTAGAAATCCTAAAGTGACCAAATCTACCCTTCCCAGACATGAAGTCAGTCCTCCCCATCGCCCCATCTTACACAGGAAGGGGGCTTTTAAGCATCCAGCTGGCATATAAACATTGCATATTTTTGCAGATGTTGAGAGAGGCCAAGGAAAAGGAGAAGCAGAGGTTGGCTCAGCAGCTCACGGTGGAGAGGACCGCACACTACGGCATGCTGTTTGATGAGTACCAAGGTCTGTCACACCTGGAAGCCCTGGAAATTCTGTCCAATGAAAGTGAAAGCAAGGTACATCCGCTCAGGCCATTGCAATGGCATGTTCAGCGATACGTTTTCTTAAACATGAAAGCAACTGGGAAAGGCCACAAAAAGACCTTTTCTTAGAGCCTTATTATTGTTGGGCTAAGATGACAAATGCCATACAGCCTGATGACCCGTGAAGCTACATGTAATTTTCCCTGTCCTGTGCCAAGCTGTTACCCCACCCCAGACCCAGAGGGCCAGCACAGGAAGTCACCACCACCCCTCCCCATGGTGTAAAATGCTGTTCTGAAACTTGGCTGTCAGGGTCCTGGCCTTCCTCTCCCCCTTGGTAATGTACTCAGCTCAGTCCCTTACCAGCCCTTGTCTTCGTTCCTACCCACTGAAAACGGTAGCCGATGTTTCTTTTAGACCTGGCATTTTTAATATACTTGTTTTATGTGTTGTATTGTTATTTGTTCAGCCGCCTTGTTAGAATATCTGGGCCATGAGGTGCAGAATTATCAAGTAGGAATTCTGTTGGGGAATGCTACCACACAGAGACCTGGCCACCCAACCTGCCTGATGACCCCTCAGTCACAGTCCCCCACAGTGACTCCAGAAGACAAAACATGAGTAGCAGAAGTGAGCAGGGCTTGGTGACTTTTTTTCTCCCTTAAAAGTACTAACCAGGCCCAACCCTGCTTAGTTTCCGAGATCAGACAAGATGAAGCATGTTCAGGTGTTATGGCCATAGTCACTGGTGACTTTCTTAAAGGATCTTCGGGGAGGGGGGTATCTGTGTGTGTGTGTATTGCACTTATATAGTTGCTGTTGCACTTATATAGTCACTATTCTAAATGCTATAAAATTGTCAGCTCATTTACTTGTGCATATGGCTCTGTGTAAGGCTGTCGGCCTGACACTACTCTGGGGTGCCTTTCTAGTGGAAGCTATGGGGCAAATTGTCCTGGTGACACTCACTGGGGAGACATCCTCAGACAGGAAGCTGCACTTGGAAGTCAGCCTCAGCATGGAAAAGTAATTTTTGACTCTGGCTAGGCTTTGTCCTCTTATGTATGGATTTCAGGGAGACTGAGCCGTTCTTGATGTCTGATAACAGACAACCAAGAGCCAAACAGGATAGAGAGAGCCTCCTCCACCCCAGATCACCGAGCTCCATGTTACCTGTTCTGCTCTGTGTTTCCTTCTTTGTTATCCATGACCTTCAGTGAAAACCTTGTGGTTAAAACTAACAAGGTTCATCCTCCAGAAAGGGACAAAATCTTGACTCTCTGCTGATACAAAGTGAAAGCATAGTAATTTATTTAGCTATTAATTAAATGAGGAAACCAGGCAGATGTTATCACTGCTTCACAGGAAAAGCCAAAAAAACACAAATTTATGTAAAATAAAGAAATGTTGGCATGAACATGCATGCGGAGAGACACAAACCTGGTTTTCAGCACAGCAGGGGATATGTCCCGCAGCTGACAGAATTCACTCACAAGTCTGTAGAAAGGACTGAATTTGCATTGCCATGAGCAATCAACAATTTACACAGCTGTAAAATTGTTCCCGTAGATTCAGAATCCCACACTCCATTAACTTAGTGCTCGAAAATACTCAGTTTTCCACAGAAGTACAAATTTTATCCTGCAAAGCCGGGTCTGGAATTAGACTTTATGTGATTATACATCATTCTGTAGCTGTTTGATTTTGAGCCCCGCTTCAATCTCCTTATCTATGAAATGGGAATTGTAATAGAACCTGCCTCATAGGATTATTCAAAGAATTAAATGGAATAATCCATGTGGAATACTAGCAGCATGTCTAGTATATAAAACTCAATAAACATTAGCTGTTCTTTTCTGCACACATGTAAATATGTACATTTAATGTTGATGACATTTTGTTTTCCTTCTTCTGCTATATACATTTTTATTATTAAAATATTGCAGGGTGAGCATGGCCCACCTGTAAAACATTACAAGCTATCGTGATGGAAGAGAAAGAGAGTCCATTCTGGTTGGTTCCATCAAAAACATCTTAGATGTTGGGCAGCATGGCTTCACCTATAATCCCAGATACTTGAGAAGTGGAATTACAGAGGATTGAGGTTTGAGACCAGCCCGAGGGGAAAAAAGCCCTAGACCCTAACTGAAAAATAACCTAAAGCAAAAAGGGTTAGAGGTATGGCTCAAGTAGTAGAGCACCCACCTGGCAAGAACAAGACCCTGAACTGAAACCCCAGTCCTGCTACACATAAAAATGGGTTTCAGCCATGAAACAGCCTGACAAAAAGACCCTTCCAGCTCTTTCACTGCTAGAAAAGAGGTTTAGTCGTTTGAGGATGTGTTAGCCAGCCCTACATTACTATAACAAATACCCAAGATCATCAGCTAATAAAGAGAAAAGGTTTATTTTAGCTCATGATCTCAGGAGTTTCCAGTCTGTTGTCAGTTATCCCTGTTACTTTTTAGACCTGTGGCAAGGCAGCACTTCCTGGCAAAAGCACATGGTGGAGTGAAACCACTCATCTCATGTCTAGGAAACAAAAAAAGAGAAAGAAAAAGAGGCCAGGATCTCACAGTCCCTTCAAGGATGGGTCCCCAGTGACCTGAAGACCTCCTACTAGGCCCCTGTTCTTAAAGGTTCCACCACTTCCCCGTAGTGCCACACTGCAAACCAAGCCTTTAACACATGGGCTTTTGGGGCCACTGCAGATGCAAACTAGAGCAGAAGGGTACATTTCCTCTGTTTATCCCACTGTTTCCACAAACTCTGATTTCTTTCCTCAGCATGGACACTTTTTATGGTATTCACAGTAAGGAATACAGAAGTGGTTTTTTTATTGTTTTTTTTTTTTTAACTTGGGTAATGATAGTTACTGGGTGCTATAATAATCACTCTTAAGAATATCAGAGTAGAAAAACAGAAGTTAATTTTCACTCCTGTGACAGTCCAGGTTAGGGGTGCCTGGTCATCAGGCACCTCTCCTGTACTTAAGGATTCAGGATTCAGGCTCTGTCCATTCTTGTGGCTTAGCCAGATTTGTTCTCAAGTACACAGGCCTCTGACAAGAATACAAATGGAGACCCCAGGGTTGCCAGGTACAACCAATAAAAATACAAGGTAACTATGGCAGAGATCTATCATATAACATTGTGGCTGTATTTAATAATAATGTGTGCGTATTTCAAAATTGCTAAAAGATTAGTTTGAATGTTCTCACCACAAAAATGATGAGTATGTGAGGTGTTCATTGGCATGCTACACCCTTCCACAGTGCACATGTTTATCAGAATAGCGCACAGGACCCATGAAGATATGCAGTTGTCTAACAAACTAAAATTCAGTTTTTAAAATAAATAGGAAAGGGAAGGAGGGTATAGCTTAGAGGTAGAGCCCTAGCATTCATGAAACTCTGGGTTCAAATCCCAGTACTAAAATAAGTAAAAAAATAGGAAGTAGCCCAGAGGCTACTTTAACATTTAGCTGTAGATAAACAGCAAATAGTTTTAGTGTAAATATGTCTCATGAAATATGTGAGACATACTTGTACTAAGTAAATATTCATTATTTATCTGAAATTCAAATTTAAGCATCCTATATTTGATCTGGCAATCCTACAAAAGTTAAAGAACTTTCTTAAACAAACTGTAAAGAAAATAAATGTTATCCTCCTCCCTCCACTAGTATACTTTCATTATGACTGGAAGGTCAATTTCCCATTTAGAATTCTCAGTCTACTCGAATTTCCACGCCACTCTCCAGCCCCCTCCTCCTATCTCCAGCTGTCTCTCCCTTCAAGCAACCATTGTACACAGGTGTATAAGGCACCTGCAAGCAATCCCCTCTGACCATTCCTTGGGCCTGGGGTGCACACTTGTCTCACTCTGGTGAGCACAGCTAGGGGAAGAGGCCCAGGAAGGCCTTGGAAAGAAACCTTCAGTAACCTGGACAGTGTTCTAGAAGGGGGAGTATGGCTTTGATAGGCATATTCTGTGGACTCTGTGAGCACACCTGTCCATTGTTTGTCACCTTCCTGTTAAAAGGATCTGTCCCATCAACATAAGGAGAGGATGAAGAGAGGACACTCCCGTTTTTAAAAGCCATGACATACCATTGGCTAAAACTTCAGATATTGTGTTGGACATATCAGGAATTATTATCATTACTATTCAATTAGATTGATTCTGGGACAGCCACACACATGGCAATGCAATGTATGATAAATGTTAAAAACAAATCATTTTGTTGCCATTATGCAAAATGTTAAAAAGTAGTAGTAAACAGAAAGCTTCAAAATGGCACCACGTATTGTCCAGGTTTATGCTGGTGACCTGGACAACATTTGACCTAGTGCCACATAGTCAGCATTCTACGAGATTTATTGAGGAGTGTGTAATTATTTATTATTTATCACTGGACTGATCTAAAGTTCTGTGCACATCGCTGTGCTCTAATGGAATGAACTTAGAGGGAGGACCACGTGTGAGAGTTGAAAGACAGGCTCTGCGAAGGTCAGGGCAAGAGGGGCTGGCCAGAAGCCATCAAGCTGGGCACATTTGCCTCTACCTGCTGAACTCTGCTGCTAATGGGCTGTGTGTTGATGACTTCCTGCCGAGCTTCCTCCCTGAGCCTTGGGCAGATGTACCGCACACAGTGATATTCATTACCCTTCAGGAAAATGGAGTCCTGGCCTCCTGGAGCCTGTCTAACCCCTTGCTCTTCTAATGTGCTCATCTATTAGCAGGAGGAATATTGCAGCATATTGCAAAGGGATCGTAGCTCCTGGCTGGTGCTTCTTCCAAAGCAAGAGTGTGACCTGCAGAATGACAAAATAAAATCCTTACCACTTTACAGACATACTTAACTTTTACTGTGATAGTCCACACCCTTCGACCATTTTGGAAATTCAGATTAATCTTCAGAGGATGACTGGCGCTGTGTACTTAACTTTGAGGTATTGCAGAAGACAGTTTCAAAAAAGGGGATCTGAAGACAGTGAGTGGAGGTGACATCAGTTGTCCCCCGGCGACCCCCTGGACACTCTCTCATCTCCCCAGAGCAACAGCCCCTTCTTGGTGTCCCTACTGTGCCCTTCACTCACACCTGCCATGGCTGTTGTTGATTGGCATGGGCCCCCCCTCCCATAGACTCTTAAGATCTCAGGGAAGAAAAACATCTCTGCGCATTTGTGCAAACTCAGTGCAATAACTCATATCTAGCAAGTAGATGTGTGTATTATATAACACGTATTTGTTTTCTATATATACAAATATACAGGTATATGTAATTAATTACCACTGTGAGTATTTTGAGTAAAATGTTTCATTTAAACCTCAAAATGACCTTATACAGTAGATGCATTTCTCAGACAAGGGAGCTGAGGCATAGGAGGGTTAAATAAATTACCCAAGGTTACAGAGTTCATAAGTGAGGAGCTGATAGTTGAGCCTTGCTGAGGCCAAGGTATGTTTTCAACCACTGTGGCAGAAGAACTACCATTGCCATGTACGTAGCTTCTACTGTGCACAGTTGTGCAAATACTTCATATTTGTCAACTGATTTACCACCCAAAGGATCACAGAGAAGTGTGGATGTTGCCTTAGGAATGAGAAAACTGGCCAGGCTTGGTGGCACATGCCTGCAGTCCTAGCACTCCGGAGCCTGTGTTCCAGGCCAGCCTAAGCTACTTAGGGAGTTCCAGTCTGAGCTATATAGTGAGAACCTGTCTCAAAAAAAAAGAGAGAATGAGAAATGAGGATGTGGCTCAGTGGTAGAGCACTTGCCTGCCACGTGTGAGGCCGTGAGTTCAATCCCCAGCACTGAAAAAAAAGAATGAGAGAACTGAGGCCTGGGCAACATTTGTAATCTGCCCAAAGTTACAGTCAGTAGTAAAGGCAACATTGAACCCCGTGTCACCTCCCCCGCCACACATCACCCTGGTCTTGGGGACACTGGAGGCTGTTGTATGTAAACGTTACCAATGAGAAGAAAAGATGACAGTTCTGCTGACCTAGTTCTTTTTTTCAGGTTCAGTCATTTTTAGCATCACTGGAAGGAGAGAAGCTGGAACTCTTAAAAAATGACCTAATTTCCATTAAAGACATCTTTGCAGCCAAGGAACTAGAGAGTGAAGAGAATCAAGAAATGCAAGGTAAAGGAAAATGGCAAGCTAAATAGCAAGACGGATGGTTGGTATAACCTTTCTGAGACTGGTTGGTAACACAGCCCTTTGAACAAAGTGGCGTTATCTAATTCCAGTGTTACCCCTGCATGCTGCATGCCACCTGCTGTGGTTACAGGAGCTGGTCACAGTGATTTATAGCCCTCTCTGTGTCTGGGCAGGAACTCCTGCTCTTTCTCTGTGGCCAGCATATCACAGGCGTGTAGTAAATGCATGTGGCTGAATGAACAAAAAGCAGAACATACTGGGCCCCAAGGACTAGAGTTTATGTGTCACTGTCTGTCTCATTTTATCTGCATGCAGAAGTTGTTTAATGTGATTAATGTTGATGGTGGGCAAGTCTTGCATTGGATTTCTTTGCATATTTTTCTTACTCTTTTAAATCTATATGTATAGGAATTAGGGTGCATTTGTAAATGTCCTGCACTCCACCTAAAAAGTACAGTTCTGGGGGTAAGAGTTGTGGTGTAGCTCAGTGGTAGAATGCTTGCCTAGCATGTGTGATACCTTGGGTTCCACCCCCAGCACCACCAAAAAAAAAAAACAATGTATGCTTCTGACAAAGGCTGTACCATTTTCCCACAGTGCACCAGGGCATGATGTTTCAGGTTGACAATCAGTGGAGTGATCCAGGTGCACACTTCCTGATAATTTTCCCACCAGATAATTACCCAACTCCCCAATGAGTCCAGAAACTATTTTATGAGAAGCAAGACTCCTTGCAAGAGGAAAAGATGTCCTCAAAATTGTGTGTGCTTAGTGACTACTTTGCAACATCCATTTGGGAGTGAAATAGGATAAAACATTTGCTACGTACGTGCAGAGTGGTTTTCTACTGATGGCTTAGCAGGTATCCCACCACAGGTGTTTCCAGTAGATTCTGCTAAAAGCTTCAACCAGGCATGAGGCTGACCTCTCCTAAGACCATTTGAAAGGCCCCAGTGTGAATGTTTTCACCACTTTTTAGCTGTGTGGCCTTGCATAAGTTATAATATAACCTTTCTGAAACTCAGTATCGTCACCTATGTGTGATACACATCCCCAGGGGTTGCTGCAAGGATCCAATCAGATAACATATGTAAAAACATATATTGCAGTGGCTGGTGCACAGGACGGCTCCAGAATGTTAGCTGTTACTATTTGTGATTATTATTGTGGTTGTGGTGGCGATGGTTATACTTGGGGTACATTGTGACATTTACCAAAGTTCTTACAATGTATCATAGTTGAATTCACCCCCTCCATCATTCTCCTTTATCCCCCATTATTATTTAAGGTGTTCACACAATGGCAGGAAAATAAGAAAGGTGTAATGAGTTTGCAGCTTTTATCTGGTGTTGTACTCATTATTATCCACCATGCGGAGTAATGCCAGTGTACATTCATTCCATCAAATCTCTGGAAGTGTTTGTGCCCATGTGTGTTACATGCCTTTAATCAGAGCTCAAACACTAGCACTCAGATGCCTGAGCTTTGGTGCCCAGGGCAAATGACTCTAAGCTTTCTTTTGTAAAGGGTCATTTAGACACTGCTTCCCTCTTAGCCATGCTTACTGACCTTCCTTGCCTTCCTCTGAATGAGATTTACGCTCATTGCATCAAAATAAAAGGATCGATTATCTGAAGCATAGAAAGAGACCACTATCAAAGAGACAGTTGGGAAATAAGAGTTTTGAACATTCATATTTTTCTACAAAAGTCTCCAAAGGTGACAATCTTGTCTTTTGTTTTTCTAATGAGGAAACTAAAATACTGTCAAAGGTCATGTAGTTCATATTGTGGACCCAAGATAAGTTAATAGATGCCTCCTTCCCAGAAACAATCACCAGAAACATTCGGGCTATTTTTCTTCAAGTTTCAGGATGCCGAAGGTAGACCTTGGTCCTTTGGGGGTGTCATTGAGAAGGGATTAAAAAAAGAGCCCAGATTCCCCCTAATGGCACAGAGAGATTGTTACTGATGCAGGCTAAGGTAGTATTGCATCCCTACTTATATGTTGATTGGAGAGAAACTTCTTTTGCAGCTATTGAATACCTAATGTTACCATAGTGATGTATTCCCGCCTTAGAGTACAGCTTCAGTAAATTGAGATGTTCTTTAATATCACACACACACACACACACACACACTGAAGTGCTAAATAGCATACTTTAAGAAATGGTAGGGTTATTTTGTCTTTCTCTATGTGACAAAACCCTATTATCTCCCATAATACATCTATTTTTCCCAACGGGCATCTCCAGTTTATAAAAACACCATTAATTTTGATTAACACAATTTAATAAATAAATGCCATTCAAACACTTAATGAAGCACGAGGAAAGAAAACAAAGGTATTGTCATTAAATCAGTCCAATTAGGAGGAAGTGCTGCAGCGCCACAAGGACCAACACTTTACCCAAAAGCCACAAAGAGGAATCTTATCAATGTACGGTGAGCAGAAAATCCAGGGCAAAATTCTAGGAGAAACCAGAGTATTGCCATCAAATGTTTTTCTTGTAAGCACCTGCATTCCTAAAATCTTCTAAGAACTAAATAATTTATTTGGTAGTCTCAGAAAGTGTAGTAAACTGTCATTTTTAGATAAATTTAATATCGGGCTCCCATGTGTTGAATAATGTTGGCTAATGGTTTGCATGTCTATCTTTCCAGCAGAGTGGAATTATATCACACTGCCTTGGGTCTCTAATTTGGTTTACTGTGACTGTGAGGAAATTTTTTAAAGGTCATTTTCTGTTTTTATTGCCTTGGGGAAGATCTTGGTCATATGTATGGACTGAGAGTTGCAGGAATAATCTTTGTTGCAACATTTATTATGTGTTTTTATCTACTTCAGTTCTCTCTGTGATTTTTTCCCCCTAAAATATTTGCTAAAAAATTTTTGGTGTATGTTTTATAGAATTAACGCACACTTAAAAGCTGGAACTACCCAAGGTAATTGTGTTCTAATTTAGTGTTGATCCTTCCCAAATATGTTTAATATTCCTATGTTTCTAACTGTGCAGCGTATAACCATTTATTTACATAAAATGTTCATGTTTGTACAACACTTCCACATTTGTAGTGGAGCCCACACTTGCCTCAGTCCAAGGCTTTCTGCCTGCAGCACTGCCTCACACAGAATGAGGACCAGGCATTTTGGAAATGAGACCTTGTCCCTGTTGCCCAAGTGTGTTAATGAATTCTTTTCTCAAAGGCTCGATTCAGGCATCACCTCCTCCAGGAAGCCCTCTTAACTTCCTGCTGGGAAAGCCTCACTCACCTCTTTGAGTGAATATGAAGCTCCTTGTGTTTTCATCGAGAGCAGACAGTCCTTTCTCTCCTGCAATGCACACATCTCCCTCTCCTCATCACAGCCACATGGCCTTCTTTCTGCCCACTGAACTTGCTAGGCACACTCCCCTACAGACTTTGCTCTCACTGTGCCTCCTAGAAGGCTCCTCCCCCTGCCATCCATGGCTCTTCTCCTCCAGGCCATTACTCAAATGTCACCTTCTCAGTTTCTCTCCTACCTTTCTGTATTAGGGCTGCTATAACAAGCAATCAAAGACTCCACCGTCTTATAAACAAGAGGAGCTCTTTCCACAATTCAGGAAGCTGGAAAGTCCAAGGTCACAGTGCTGGCAGATCCAGTACCTGGGGAGGGCTACTCTCTGTTCATCAGCAACACCCTAAGCTGTGTCCTCACATAGTGGAAATGGCCAGCCAGCTTTCTGAGGTGTCTTCTGCAAGGACGCTAATCCAGTCATGAAGTCTCCGTCCCCAGCACCTAATCACCTCCCCAAAGCCCATCTTCTAAAACCATCACCTTAGTGATTAGGTTTCAACATCCGAATTTCAGGGGATGGAAACATTCATAGTATAGCACCTCCTATATAAAATTCTCAAGTCCCAGCTACCCTGATTCCTCTCCCTTGGTTTATACTTCTCCATAAAACTCATCATGACATACATGTTTGCCTATCTATCTGTTTTATTTACCTATTACCTTCATAAGAATATGTGAATTATAGATAGTAATAAATTGATCTAAGCTAGACATTTTGAACAAAGATTGCACAAGGCAACCTGGCTATCTTCACAAGCTGCCAATGAACTGTTGTCTATAAAACCGAAAATAACATATCCAGGCAAGCATGGCTTAGAGGCGTTGCCTGTAAAATACTGACATAAGCTGGTATTTTCTTCTCAGAGACTTTTGATATCTTGTAGTCAGACCAGATTAGTGATACTTTTATTCTTCCCCCAAATAAGGTGATTACCCCACTACAGAATCAATTCTTTAGCACCTAGCAGAAATTTTCAAGGTGGCATTACCATTTAGATTACCAGTATTGATGCAGATGAGAAGATCAGAGCTTTAATGTATATGTGTTACCTGCAAATAACATGAACTTACTTTTATGATATATTAATATATCATTATATATTATATAATTTGTCAATAAGTTATTGATTCAATGACTATTCATGTTAGCATCTGTTCTCTTCCAGGTTCTGTGTTAAATGCTTTGAATTTCAGAGCAGGCCAAACAAGTGCTGTGTCTGTCCCTAGAGAGCTTCTAGTCTGAAGGGAAGGTAGATCGTTAAGTATTGTAGGACCAGACAGGTGTCTTAGGAAACCTGGGAAGTTTCTCCTGAGAGATGGTGTTGCTTAGTCTGCTGGCACGCGTTCCACTGAGACCAACTCTGCCCGGCACTGTGGCTCTGTGGACATGGAAGGGTGCCCTGGAAGCCCTCAGGGCTGTAAGCCATGCATAACCATGTTGCATGTCACATAGCATCCCAGGGGTCCAAGGCCTGAGAAGGGTCATTCATCTGTTCATCATCCATAGCTTGAGCAAGACAGACGGGGCCCCTTCCTGCCTTGTTATCCCAGGCCAGCCTGAGGGCGTCTGAGTGGGAGCCCTGCAGCTTCAGTGGTCCTCATGCTACCTCCCTGCTGTGCTGGCCCAGTGACCCATGTCCCTCTTCCTTTACTGATGGCCACAGGGCAGACTGCCACAGCCTCTATACTCAGTCAACCCTGACCATAAGCTGGAAAGTCGAGGTAGCTGCAGCATTTCAAAGGATGAAAAATAAATCATGCTTCTTACGTCTGTCATGTTCTATTCTAGGCTTGGAAGAAAAAGGAGAAGAATTTGCTAGCATGCTTACAGAGCTTCTCTTTGAATTACATGTCGCAGCCACGCCTGACAAACTCAATAAGGTCAGAACCATCTGATTAGGAGTTTTGAGCTTAAAAGGGGGCGGGGGAGCTAGGATCTCCGCAGTAAATTTCTAGAGATCCACGTGAAATAGAAAAACCCAAGGCCAAGATGGCACAGTGCAGGAGGAGAGCTTGAGGTCAGTAATTAAGATTTGAAGAGGCAACATAATGAAATGCCATGGTAGGGAATGTTGAGACTGTCACGAGACCTGCACCATATAATTTTAGTAGTAATTACCCTTGACCTTGAGTAAGTCACTTACCCTTTCATGGTGAAATAGAAGGTTCTGTCAGAGCAGTTATTATCTCCAGGACAGAGGAGGGAAGAGGGGTACAGAATCACCAATGTACTTTTTTCAACCACTCCCCACCCTGGTCTTTTAAAGAAATATACCAGAATTAGGCAGAAAGAGAGGGAGAGAGAGAGAGACAGACAAAGACAGAGACAGAGACATTAGCCAGGTAAGCCACACATCTCCCACCGAACATTGCAGCTTTAACAGTCTGGGTTTCTCTAATAATACCGCAGTAAGTGCTGCAAGTTAGTACAAGGTCTCACTGTGGGATTTCTTAAGAAGACACTAATCATTAATTACTCCCTCTCCCTTTTATCCTTTCTGTTTTCTTAGCAAGCAGTGTTTACGTTGGCCCTCATTTCTCTAAGTGGGTAAGGAAAGGGCAGAATGAGGTCATGAGGTGGTGAGATGAATAATTTCTTTATCATAGATAGGAGCCACCAATCCTGGGAGGTCAGTGACTTGAACACAGTGTGAAATTACCTAATCCATCTCCCTACAGCACCTGCCACTACTTGGACAGGCCTGCGGTGGCTGCAAGGCTGCGCTGGTTTATTTACATAGTCAGGGTCAACCTTTATCCTTTAAAGAGGACATACCAAGTACCTGTCTTTGTAGGTCACCTCTTCCCAGACCTGCTGGCTTACACCCTAAACTTGGACATATGAGCTTTAATCTAAGTCATTTTAACATAAACTGAAAAACAACTTTTACTTAAGCAGCTTAAACAGTGTGATAAAATCTGGGTGAGTCTGCTCTTAGATCCAGGAAATAACAGATCACGGTGATGGGTTCTGCATCTTCAACTTAGCCATAAATTGGAGAGCCCTGGGTGCTTACATTCCACTCATGAGAGGTTAAGCCAGTCACAGAGCAGCACCAGGTCTTCTCAGAAGCTCCTTGCCTCTTCCCTTGGAGGCTAGAAGACCACCTACATAAATCAAAGGGAACAAAGCCATCTTTCATCTTTCCAGCATGATGGATTACTAGGTTTCTGAAATGTTCAGAGCTTCATGACATTTCAGATGAGGAAATTTAGTTTAGCTGTGGCCCTGGCTAGATTTCTAACCTATCTAGGAAAAAGTACTATTATTCTTTAACACTTGGTTGTGAAAAATATACTGTAGATTTTTAATGGGACTGTCATTTTTATTCCTATCTGAATAACATTTTAAATACTTTTTTTAAAAGTCATCGGGCCCTGAAGTGTGCCCTCCATAATTTCTATTCTATTCTTTTCCCTTTTCCTATTATATATATATTTTTTTAAACTGAAACAAGGTTATCTTTTAAGGAGGTTAAGGAATGGCCCTACCACTTTTTAAACCTATAGAAATCTGCCCTGGAGGTTGAGAGAGCAACCTGATTCTGGTCTTGGGGTTGGTGTGACTTCATTTTTGCGTTCCTACAATAAATGGCATTGTTTGGTTGGGGGCCATTGCAGGCCATGAAGAAAGCTCATGACTGGGTGGGAGAAGATCAAACCATGGTGCCCATAGATGTGGCCAACGAGTCCAAGGAGGAAACGAAGAAGGAAGAAAAGGAAGAGAAAACAGAAGACCCTCAAGAAGTCAAAAAGGAAGAAAAGAGAACCAAGACTGTAGAGGTAAATTGATTCCAGATTGCCCACCAAAAGGGCAGTAACCTTGTGTTAATTTTATTAGTAGCCCAATTATTATTTATTTTATTTTTTCAGTGGTACTAGGGTTTGAACTCAGAGCTTTGTGCTTGCTAGGCAGGCACTCTACTGCTTGAGCTATGACCTCAGCCCTTTTTTCTCTGGCTTTTATTTATTTATTTATTTATTTATTCATTTAGCCATACTGGGGGTTGAACTCAGGCCCTCACACTTACTAGGCAAGTGCTCCACCACTTAAGTCACTCCACCAGCCCTGCTTTGGTTATTTTGGGCTGGCCTGGACCACTGTCTTCCTATTTATGTTTCCCACCATAGTTGGGATGGCAGGTACATACCACAGCACCCAGTCATTGGTTGAGATGGGGTATCAAGACCTTTTTTGCTTGGGTTGGCCTGGACCCATGATCCTCCCAATCTCAGCCCCCCAAGTAACTAGGATTATAGGCTTGAACCACCACACCCTGCCAGCAGCCTACTGTGAGGAGAGTTTCTTTTTCATTTGTACCTTGTCCTACCATATAGAAATATGAGTAGGGATGTAATGAGCACTAAAATTTCTCTATGTCAAGACAGTTTGTGGCTGAGCATAGATTTTATAGCTTTTCGTAGCTTTATAATAATTTAAAGGGGAAAAGATCTTTAAGGAAATAATTGATTTTTCTTTAGAGTAAATCTCTGTCTTGCATGCAAATTTGTTATCACAAAATGTCTTTATGTTTCATAACTAATGAGGTAATTTAAGCTTTTTTTCAAAAACTTTCATTGCTGTGGCTTTTATTCTGTAGTTTAATAAATTTATATGTGCATACTTGATGTCCTGCTTATGTTCCAAAGAGTAGTTTGCAACACCTTCCCTTATGTTGAATTTTAATTTTAAAGAAAGTAAGTTATATTACTCTAAGAACAAATTTCAGCCTCCCTGCCATGCACCTAACTTAGCACCTCCAACTATTGGAGACACAACTGTAAAGAGGCTTGCCACATTCCTGGGAATCTGGCAGCATTTCACTTAGAAGAGTCTTAGGCATACCCATCTTTGCAAAAACTTCCGTATCATGTATCTTTTTTTATTAAGAATTATTTCTTTGGGTTAGTATAGCTCAATGGTAGAATGTGTGTTTAACAATGCATAAAAAAATCCCCAGCGTAAAAAAATGGTTCCATCATCTTTTAATCTCATAGGGGTTTTTGGCAAACATCTGCTCCATGAATAATTCTCTTGTATCCATTCCTTTCAGGAAGTGTACATGCTGTCCATTGAAAGTCTGGCTGAAGTAACGGCACGCTGTATTGAACAGCTTCATAAAGTTGCAGAATTAATTCTTCATGGACAAGAGGAGGAGAAACCCGCTCAGGACCAAGCAAAAGTTCTGATAAAGTAAATGCCACTTTTAATTCTTATTTTTTCAATTTTATATGTATGTGTCCTTCAAGTACACACACATATACACACCCTAAGCAACTAAAGATTCAGACTTCATGTCAACTAATTCCACTGTTCCATAGTCACTTTAAGGAATGAGGACTCCCATAAGAAATGGAATATGTAGCAAGAATAATGAACTAGATATTCCAGGAATTATTTATGAGAAAATTTAAGAGACCACATACTAAAGCACTCAGAGCTGTGAAAGTGTTTATTTTTAATGTCTTAACAGTGTAGAGCTTTGAGGGTAATTCTGTTTTCAGCATACCACATGAACAGGGAAAGGACACAAATGTAACTTCTCAGATAGCTTTGCAAAAATAGGCAGACACACTCCCCGATTCCCAGGGATTTGTTCCAGCTCTACACTCTGGGGATGATGGATCACATGTGTGTGTCTTATGTGTTCTCATAGTTTATGTTCTTCAATAAATAGTTGCTATTATTATTATTTTATCTGCTTAATAAAAATATGTGCATATGTAAATATATATGTATATGTACTTGAAAACAGTTGATGTGGAGTTGAACAATAATCCACATGTGTGTGCATTCAACATAAGGTACAGTTATTGCAAACTCCTTTTTGGAACGTAGGCAGGACATAACATGCAGACATATTTATGCACATGACTGTGTATTATGACATGGAAAATTATCACGTGTCCAAATACCCTCATTAAGACACAGAAACCAAAATAGGTGCCCCCTGGAAATATATGGGGGCACACACACATACACACATAGCTCAGTCTCCTCATTGACTTTGCAGGTACTAATCTTTTCTTATTACTTAGTGTATTCCACAGTGTACATTAGGGAGTGTTTAGTTGAAGGAACTTCCAAAAAGTCAATGATTAGGGTCTTCGTGCTGGTAGCATTTTTCTCAGTTGTAAAGATTTGCAATCTAGTCTAGATTTTTCTATCTAAACATGTAGAAATCAAAGATGTTCTAAGTGCATAACCCACCCCCTGTAATAGATCCTAGAAAGATTACATTCTTGCTTCAGCAGCTCTAAGGAAAAGGAGAGGATAAAGCATGCAAAGTTTAAACTATCAAGGACAATATCTAGGCACTATTTATCTTCGCAGTACCGATTTGAAGTTGAGAAGTCTCATCTATGGCCATACCACCCTGAAAGCGCCTGATCTCGTCTGAAGTTGAGAAGTCTCTGAGCAAGGTCGCACACTTGCTCTTAGCTCCTTTCTGATTCCCAGCCCTCATTGCCCCACCCTTCCTTGACAAGCTACACACGCCCCTGACTGGTCTTCCAGTGAATGCCTCTCCACCCCCACTCACGAAGGCAGAGAGCATGGGCTCTGGGCCACCTCCTTGCCTTACTCGAAGTTTTCTGTAGACAAGTTTCAGATGGATGGATCAAACCTGAATAAGTAGGACTTGGAGTGTAGCTCAGTGATAGAGCACTTGCCCAGGGTGCAGGAAGTCCTGGGTTTGATCCCTAGCACCCCCCAAAAAAACTCTGAATATGTAGGTTAGACAGGACCCCTATTTTGCCAAAAAAAACCCTTCTCTGTACTGATTTGACTAGATCTTGAAACATACAAGATAACTTGGGGTTATAGTTTTTAACAGCATTTTAATCACTGTTCCTAAAAGTCACATACACTAATTCTTAGAAGAAAATCAAACACAGCCCACATTGTTAAGTAATTTAATTATTTTTCAGCTTTTGTCATCATCCATAACGTTAGGAAAACGTGTGGTTGAATATGTGTGTCTACTTTGCTATATGTTCTTGGGGTAAAGTCCTAGAAAATAAATTTGGAAATTTGATATAATTCTTAAAAACATATGCTATAGGATCTTTATTTTGAGGTATTTAGTAAAAAACATAATCAAAATATAGAGACCCCTGAGGCCCAAGTGTGTTGATACTTTACACAGGTGGTCCCAGCTAGTTGGGAGGCAGAGTAGGGAGAATTGCAGTCTGAGGCCAGTCCAAAAAAAGTTAGCATGAGGCCTTCTCTGAAAAACAAACTAAAAGCAAAGGACTGGGAGCATGGCGTAAGTGGTAGAGTGTCGGCTGGCCTAGCAAGCATGAGATCAATCTCCAGTTCTGAAAAAATAAGTGTATATGTATATGCATATAACAAATGCATACACCTGAGTTTGGGTACTCTATGTCCTAACAGGTTACTTAACCTTTGTAACTGTCAATTTCTTTGTCTGTATAAAGTAGGAATAATAGTAATAATATAACCCAAAGGGGTACTACAAGGATTTAATATGATTAGGCATACAAGTGTTGAATGAGTATTCATTATTGTTTTAAAATGACCAAAAAGCTGGAGAAAAACTACCTGAGAAGATTTTCTTCCCCTATAGATGTGAGACTCAAGCTTGATGTTTCCCTGTGTGCTGATTGTATTCTAAAAAAGAGGTCAAGTGAATTATATCATTAGTCTTTAATTAAACATGGAGAGAAAATCAGACTTTGATTACACTGTGGTTTGCATCATGGAAGACCGTTGAGGGGAACTGTTTGCTCATTTCTATGAGCAACTCCAAACTTGTGTGCGTTCCTTTTAGATGTAATACTGCATTGATATCAATTAATTGTCATGACAGTTATTTTACTTTATTGAAAACCTCCTGAAGTCCTTTTTCTTATTTCAGATTAACGACTGCAATGTGCAATGAAGTGGCCTCTTTATCAAAGAAGTTTACGAGTTCCTTAACCACTGTTGGGGTAAGGTTACAATATTGATATTTTTTTCACTCTTTTAAGGGAAGCAGGACTGTGAGGAAAAACGGGAGTGCAGCACCTTTCTGGGCAGCTCCATAAACAGAAGCTGTGATATTCGCTGAACACAGGCCAAAGCATCTTCTCTACCAACAGGCAACCTAGGACTCTCATCTGCCTGTGTTCTAGCCCTGAGTCAGCTATCTCAGACATCTGAGATGCTAAGTGACTTTTCAGATCTTTAAGGGCCCTTTTTTTTATTTGTTAAAGAAAAATAATGTCAAATGAAGGTTCTCCATGATATACATATAATTTTAAGAAGCTCTACTAAAATAATTTTGAATATTCTCATTCACTGTTGCCCTCACATTCTGTTTTATAAGCCACACAAGGTAAGACGTTTCTTTGTTCTATTGTCACCCTCCAACTTTAACCAAAAGAGAAAAATGTCACTATGGACCTATGTTTCTGTTCTCAGGGTAACAGCGTCAAAAGGCTCAGTGTTTATTTGGATGTGTGACTTCTGCTTATTTTCTTTAGAAATTAGTCACATTGTATCCCCCTACTTTCGGATCAAGGGAAGACAAGTGGAAAGAATTCCCCTGTAACCGCTCTATTTTTTTTTTTTAAAGCCCCTGAATGCAAGATCTGGTCCTCTTTCCTTGAAAAACAGTGGGGTTCACTTCCTGTTTTAGTTAGGGTGTAACAATCTGCCACAAACTGGGTGACACAAAGAATTACACTCTCACAGCTCTGGAGGCTGGAAGTGTGGCATCATGGTCTCTGTCTTGGCTTCTGCTGGCTTTTGGCAGCCCTAGCTGGTCCTTGGCTTGCAGCTACAAAAAGCTCCAATATCCCCCCAACCCCACCCTCTCCCTCTGTCTTCCTGAGACTGTTTACTCCCTGTGAGTCCTCCCATTGTCTTTGTGTCTACACTCAAATTCACATAAGGACACCAGTCATCTTGGATTAGGGTATGACCTCACCTTAACTTATTATGTCTGCAACAGCCCTACCTTCAGACAAGCTCATAGTCTCAGGTACTGCTTGTTAGGACTTCAATACATCTTTTTTTTTTTTCTTTTTTTTGGTGTTGTGGGAATTCAATCCATAACAAGATGCAACAGAAGTAAATTCTACATTGTTTAGCTGGAATAGGAATTTTATGGAAGACAGTGGCAGTCAAGCCCTTGAGATTGATGTGGAATATGTAATGTGAGTAGGGAGGGAGGGAGGAAAATAGGCAGTGGAGTGCGGTGAACAGCTGTGTGGACAGCACCAAAGTTCATTCACTGTCTCTAAAGAGCTTTTATTAATGTGACCCAGCAACAGCAGTTCCCAGACCCTGTGTCTCTCCATCCCAGTTCTGGTTTCCTGGGTGCAAACATTCATAAAGCTTGTCGGCATGGGTCAGATGTTTGTGTCACTCACCAGTGACTGGGGGCAGGGTCACATCATGAGGTCCTGCCTGGCTGGAGAGGTTCACCCCTCCCCCTCCTCAAGCCAATAGCAGTTCTCAAAATAAGTAGGAATGACTGTGGACCTGGCCATCATCCCAAAAGATGTCCATCCCATTACACTTCTGTGACACCGTTAATAAGCTACACACCATCCGTCCATCCTGCTGTCAAACAATTTCGTTTGCTCCTCTTTTGTAAAGGAGCAGCTTTGACATTTGTCTAACTTGAGGCTTTCAGCAACAGAGCCTCACTGTGTGCAGACAGGAGGGAGGGATGGAAGCTCGCTGATACTCTAGGCTGCATGAAGCTCTCCCATGGGCTTAGTGCTGTCTGGTCACCTGATGCTGTGGAGCTTGGTGGAAATTCAGAGTTTATAGGGACGTGAGAGGCCTACTCAGGATGAGATGGCCTCCTGGCCTTTCAGGTTCCCAAGGCTGTCCCATTCACAAGGCGAGGAAACCAAGGCCTGGAGGGGTAAGTTGATTCACCCAGGCCTCCCAGTTGATATCTCAACTCTCCATCCTCAACCCATCAGATGGAGTACATGGTGTTATTTCTCCTCCTTTCAATCTAGTGTAGTCCAGCACAGTGCTTCTTAAACCTTAGGCTGGAGATTAAATCCGTTAAAATGCGGATTCTGATTTAACACATCTGGGCTGAGGCCTGAGCTTCCACGTTGTTACTAAGCTCTCAGGTGATCAGAATGTTCCTGACCTGTGGGCCACATTTTATGTAGCAAGGCTCGGGTGAATGAGTATGTACTGGAACTTACATATGTGCACAGGTGCACACGTGTACAAACCTGTGCGTGAACAAAGTCGGTAACACATACACACACAGTGTCATTTTGGAGAAGGAAAAGACTGGATCTAAAGGAGAGTTTACTGCAGTGCCATCTAACCGAAGCAGTGTCCTGATGTCGCGCCGTGATGAATCATTTGCATCAATCATTGTTTGTGCCTTCTGAAGCAGCCATTGCTCATAACATGAAGTGAATGAATGTGTATTGCTCTCCAAACTCCGTTTAAATTGCGTGCACATCTCACTGATTCAGAAAACCAATGCCATTGATTGCCCTCATTTTGATTATATTGTGGAGGTTTGTTGATAATCAAATAAACATGAAAGCAAATACCGTAATGGATTTGCTGGTTACTTACTAAAATGACTGTGTTTTTAAAAAGGTTTTTCCCCAGACTCCATTATGGTCTCCTCTGTAAGATGTTACTTCACCCTGAGTGATGTCAGTGAAAGTAGGCTGCTCTTCCAAGAACATGGAATTAATTTCTGTGCTTTTGTTGTGAACTTTTCCAGGTACAGTAAGGGAAACTGATTGCCCAATCTCTCTGAGGTCTCTTCAGGGTTTAGTGTGTCAGAGTATGTGAGCATTTTATGTAGGGAAGAATGCTGGCTTAGAGACCCGTAGCATAAATAGGGGTACTTACACTGGCACTCACGTTTTGAGCACTGAGTTTATACAAGGTTTTGTATTCTGTGCTTTATGTATATTCCTGTCTTACAAAATTATATCTACAGCTCTGTTTCCAGGTTATATTTAAGGATGCTTTAATTTTACTATTATTCTGGAAGATTCCCTATAGCCACATACTCATGTTTGCATTTAAAAGAAGAAAGAACAGAAAAGAAAAAATTGATTAGGACAGAGCTGGGGCTAAGGTGGGGCTAACCCACCTGCAAAATTTCAAGGGGTCCAAAAAAGAAATTAGAAAAAAACCTCAATAAGTCAGATCAATACCTTAATGCAATATTTTTTAAAATTGAAAAAAGGTAATAAATGAATTATCACAATTTTAAGGGGGCAGGCATGGTGGCAAATGCCTGTAATCCCAGGTACTCAGGAGGCAAAGATCAGGAGGATTTTGGTTCAAGGCCACCTCAGGCAAAAAGTTAGTGAGACTCCCTCTCAACCAACTTAACAGGCATGGTGATATGCCCCTGTGATCCCAGCTACACAGGAGACATAAGTAAGAGGATTACAGGCCAGGCCCACTCAAGCAAAAACACAAGACGCTACCTAAAAAAATAATTAAAGCAGAAAGGACTAGGGGCATGGCTCAACTGGTCTAGCAAGCACGAGGCCCTGAGTTCAAAGCCTATTACCACCAAAAAGAAAAATATTAAGTAAATACAGGATTTAATCCTGACCTCTTCTTACTCCCAGACCTGCCAAAAAAAAAACTTCAGTTAAAAAATAATCAGCTGGGGCTAGGTACCCGTGGCTCATGCCTGTAATCCTGGCTACTTGGGAGGCTGAAATTAGGAAGATCAAGGTTCAATGCCAGCCCAAGAAAATAGTTCATGAGACCCCCATCTCCAAAATAACCAGAGCAAAATGGACTGGAGGTGTAGCTCAAGTGGTAGAGTGCCCACTTTGTGAGTACGAAGCCCTGAATTCAAACTTGAGTCCAACCAAAAATAAAAAAAGAACAGCAGGGTGCCATAGTTTATGCCTGTAATCCTAGTTACTTGGGAAGTAGAGATCAGGAGGATCATGGTTCAAGTCCATCCTGGGCAAATAGTTCCCTAGGCTCCATCTCAACCAATAAAAGCTGGGCAAGGTAGTGCACACCTGTTGCTCTATCACTTGAACCACTCCCACCAGCCCCGAAGTCAGGGTTATCACGGTACCTAGCTACCTCCTAGGATTCCTGTCAGAATTAAATGGGATCCTGTGGGGGGCAGCACCAAATATGAAGCCGAGTCTATAGTAAGCTTTGTCCTTCTCCCCTCCTCTCTCAGAGATCCCTCAATCAAGCCAGGGTCTTACACTTGGTGTGGCAAACCTTGCAGGACGAGCCCCTAATCTGTCCATGTATACTTTTGATTCCACAGAGCAACAAGAAAGCAGAGGTCCTTAACCCCATGATCAACAGTGTACTGTTAGAGGTAAGTGGTCCCAGGAGAGGGAAGGAGACTTTGGTTCAGGGCTTCGGAGTCAAAGCAAATGTCACAGTGCTACTCTTTTCTTTTTCTGTCTTTCTTCTGGGCAGCAAGTGTTTTTGCAATTCCAAATCTTATCATCCACAGTCTGTTTTGAGTATATTTGTGTAGCTCAACCAGCTGTAAACCCGCTGGTGAAGCAACAATACCAAATTTTCAAAAATTCCTGATTCTAAAAAGAAATGCTAAGCTTGCACGTTATTTCTGTCACTGGTTCCTCTGGCAGAGGCAGCTCTCTGCTGCCAAGTTTGACCCTAGATTAACACTATGACTATGACTGCAAAGACGGATTATTGCTTACTAGTGATTTTTGTAAATATGAGCATATCCCTGCATTTGCAATAACCTTTGGTTTAGCTGGGTCAAGCCCCAGGCTGGCAAAAATTCGGTGATAAGGACTCCATCCCCTGTGATGTTCACCCCATGGCCACCTGCTCATAACACCAGTTGTACAGCTGTCCCAGTGCTGCTCTGGCTATGCCAGAAACAGTGACATAAGAGAACAAAACAGACCCAGGGAACCGTCTTGTTCTTGGATTGCAAGCACTGGGTTCTACCTGGTTGGTGGGTAGAATCTTCCATGTGAGGCCAAACTAGAAGACCCTGATACAGCTGAAGCCACAGGGCACCCAGCTAAAATCAGGAGATGCTCCCAGCTGAGGCTGGACATGGCCAGTGCATAATCAGTAGGCTTTGCTTCTTTCTTGTTGTTAATGGCAAAATTTAGAAATTAAGAAACCTCAGGAGGGCTACCTAAAGATTTACAGTGATGTTTTGGGGAATCATGCTTTATTGCTAAGGAAAACTACCAAGGTATAACAAGAACAAAGTAGTGGCACCTCATGTTATTGTTTAGGACACAACCACACAGTGGAAAGGAGTCAGCCAGAAGGGACAGCAGCTGTCGGGACAGATACAGCTAAGAGGAAACCCTGGTGGGCAGAGGCAAATGTGATAGAAGAAAAAAATCCCTCCCCTGGCCACCCAGCAGCATTAGCACGTTCATTTACCTTGTCACAAATATGACATCAAATGTTTATTTGTTTGTTTGTTTTGAGGTCTGGGATTCAGGGCTTCACACAACTAGGCAAGTGCAGTACCACTGAGCTATAAGCCAGCCCCACCCTAAACTTCAAGTTGTCTGTTTAGTTCTGTTTAGAGCATTCCATTAGACACAAATAGTAACATCAGATATCTGAACCCAGCAGAAGGTACCAGCACGCATGGGCAGGTGACAGCGTTTGACGATTTACCATGTGTATTTCTACGGTAATAGCTCCAGCTTTATGTAGAGCACAAACATTACAAGAATTTTAGAATGTTCCAATTTGATAATGTTCCCTCTCCTCAAATGAATGGGAGCAGTACCAAATGGGGAGAACTGGGACCAGGCATGGTGACCCACGTGTGTTCCCAGCTCTTCAGTAGGTGGAAATAGGAGGATCACAGTGTGATGTTGGCCCTGGGCAAAAATTGTGAGACTTATCTGAAAAATAAACTAAAGTACAAGGGACAGGGGGCATGGCATAAGTAGTAGAGTGCTTGCCAAGCAAACAAAGCCTTGAGTTCAAACCCCAATACAAAAAAAAAAGGGAGACTTGTCAAGATTAAACTATGAAAATAACCTCCACTACATTTTTCCCCCCTCACAGGGCTGCAATAGCACGACGTATGTCCAGGACGCCTTTCAGCTGCTGCTGCCTGTGCTGCAGGTTTCACATATCCAGACGAGTTGTCTGAAGGCACAGCCGTGATCTTGCCAAATGCAAGGCAGTGACTGGCCTTCTTGCTTCACTACATACCTTGTAAGGGTCTGTCTTCCATGCACCTGGCCAGATGCCCATCTAAGGACACTAAGAGCAATTTTGCACAGTTTTGCAAGTTTAAAGAGAGTTACCATTTCTCTTTAGGGTTGGGATTTTCTTTTTCCTTTTACAGATAATTGTGTTTTCTTTATGTTAATTTAAACTTATATTGCTTATATTGAAATTTTCCTTTAATCTGAAATTTATGTACAGATATTCATGTCTGTTTTCCTGGTCAAGCATGCTATATTTAGAAATTCATAGGTAGACCCTAGATTGTAATTAATCTTTTTTACACTTCTTCCTTTGAATGTCACAGTCTTATGTTGCTTTCACTCAATTCTTATATTGAACTTTGTTGCATAAATATCATGGGTAAAAATAACACTACTTATAGATTTTGCCTATTATGGTAAAAGAAAAACATAATTGTCTCTTTATAAGCCATTCATTCTTGCAGCATGCATTTACTGAGCATCAACTGTATGCCTACAAAATAGGAATATGATCTTACCCCAGAAGAGACATACTCTGAAAGAAGGTTTACAATAATTCCTAGAATAGCAATACATTTTCTAAACCTTGAAACATTTGAAGAGCAAAGTACATTGGTGCTTACTTAAATGTTCTACCCTTTGATTAATTACATTTTTCTCTCCTCCTTGAACTTTTTTTATCCCAAACTTTATATGTGGAGTGAAAAATATATGACAGGGGTTATTAAAGAGTATTTAAAATATATAATGGTATAATTACAAAGCTTGGAAGTACTCAAATAGAAAGTTAAAGGGATTTCAACACAGTAGAATCCTAAGTCAGCTTTTTTTTTTTTTTTTTTTTTTGGCGGTACTGGGGTTTGAACTCAGGGCCTTGTGTTTACTAGGCAGGCGTTCTACCACTTGAGCCACTCCACCAGCCCCCCAGGTCTGCATTTTAAAATTCTGCTGCATTGATCACATTTACTGTAGGCAAAAGACAGAAAATATTGACATGAAGTTCGCCTCACTGGGATATTGGTCGAGGGAGGCTGCACCAAAGACTTCACAGATGGGTGGGTATGGGTGATAGGTGCTTCTCCAGGGCATTGAAGGTAGGGATTCTGTATAATGTTCTTCCAAGCCTCATGGACATCCCTGCTGGCAGTGTCAAAGGAAGTCTTGCCCAGTGGCTCTCCCCAGAGCAAATGAAGCTCTAGCTTTGCAAGGGTGAACATTCCTATTCACATTTGCCCTCTGCCTTTGTTTCCTCCAGGCCAAGTAGAAGTATTTGAACATCACCCTATTCCTTGTTGCCATCTCATCTGTGTTTGTTCTATATTGCATTTGTATGTCTACTGAAACAGCCAAATAGAAAACAGAACAATTCATTTACAACCCTGGAAAATAAAATTCTCTGAGAGATCAAATTAAAGATGCCTTTCTTCTCCTTTTCTGAGGGTATCTGTTATTAAGTTTGAAGGTTAATATTAGCTGATAAAAATGTTACAGTTACCTCTTTATGTATGTAGAATCTTTATGTAGAGAGCAGAAGAAATGATTAAGATTTTAGGGGTTTTTTTAAGCATTAAATAGATTTAGACACTAACTGGGAATGTAAAGGAGAAGTAAGTATTTTCTATCTTATTTTGGCAGTTCTGGGGTTTGAACTCAGGACTTCGCACTTGTCAGGCAGGTGCTCTACCACTTTTGCCACTCCCCCAGACTCTTTCCTGCCCTCCCACTTCAGTGATTTTTCAGGTAGTATCTTTTTGCCCAGGCTGGCCTCAGAGTATGATCCTCCTCCCTATAGCCTCCCATGTAGCTGGGACCACAAGTACCTGCACCACACCTAATTTGTTGATTGAAATGAAGTCTTGCTATCTTTTTCCCCTGACTGGTCTCAAACCTTGCTCCCTCCTGAGTAGCTGAGATTATAAGCATGACCCACTGCACCCAGCCTGAAATAAGTATTTTCAAAGGAGCTACATTCCTAGACTTAGACTTCAGCCTAACTACACCAAAAAGAAAAAAATTGTGGTGCTGGTGATTGAACCCAGGACTTCAGATATTCTGGACAAGTGCTCTGCCACTGAGCTACATCCCCAGGCTCTAAGTTTTTTATTAGAAAATAAAATAGAATTTCGTAAGAGAATAAGATAATTATTCAAAAAGAAGTCATTGACATTATTGACATTGAATTTATCTTTGAATGACAGAATGTCAAAGGTTCCAGGTGGAGTCACAGGCTGAGAGACAATTCCCTGGTTCATGATCTGTGAATTACATTATTTAAGAAAGAATAACCACTCACCATGTTTTCTTGGCATTTCTCTTTCATTACTAGTTCTCGCCATCACTTTTAAGTGATCGTACTTTGCTTTGCTTAAAGCTGGCAGAGCAGAGGATCCAGATCTGGGCAAATGTCAATCAGTTGCTGAATGAATGATTTTACAGGCTTGCTGGGGAAGTTTGTGTCCCTTCAATAATCCTGTACATAAATCGAGTTAATTACAGTCTGTGCAATTACCCTGAACAAGCACGTCGGCTTTTCCCTTACATCAAGTGCAAAATAAGTTCTACTCTAAATAATGAAGGTAGTTCTGCTCCTGTGCCTTATTAAATGTAAAGCATCCAAAGCATATTTCAAATTCAAAGTAAAATGCATTTGAGAAAAATTGCTTCTGGGTATTGATACTCAGAGATCTCCAGGGTAAAATGAGTCCCAACACTTGAAGCACAGGCCTCCCCTTAAGTATTGTGCCCCATGAGAACAGAAGTCTCTCTTTTCTCTGGGTCTCACACTGGGCTGCACATCAAGCTCCAAGTTAAGTGAGTAGTGTGACTAGCTGAGGCTGTGGCAGGAGTGAGCAGGGACATTGCAACAGCCTCAGCCACACCAAATAAGGGACTGCCACCTCAGCTGCAAAGCTGGGCAGGATAGGGAAGCACCAGCCATGGGCGGACTGAAGGAAAATGCTAAATACCAGGTGGAGGCCTGAATGGAAGAGTGCAAGCTTTCCTTGTGCTTTGCAGAAATTAGCTGCCTAGCTGCTCCATATCACCTTTCACACAGGCTGGCCATGCTGTGCCTATGTTAGAAACAAAGGCAGAGAGATCCCACTCAGAGTCATCCCAGACGTCCAGGATATAACATCCTGGACAGCAATGTGCAAAAATCTGAAATAACCATTGCATTTCCCTTCTTTCCAGCAAGGAAAAAATGTGTGTGTGTGTGTGTGTGTGTGTGTGTGTGTGCTGAACAGATGGGCTGATCACAACACATAGCTTCAAATGGTATTTAATTTTATAAAAGCGATTACTCTACAGAGCCAAGCTAGTTTTTTGTAGAGTGTAGAAAACTGCCCTTTGATCTTCCTGGTAATCGTGTCCCACATTCTAATATCCACATCTGGGCTAAGTTGCCATGTCTTTAAAGACACTTCAGAAGGGGTCATACTGAAAATCCATCTTAGAAGTGCAATTGGTTTGTGGTTGATTAGAATTCACAATGCCAGAGGAGTGGATTCATCCAAACCATTCTTCACATGAAAGAAAACAAATGGCACGGTTACCCATGGGTCTTATTTTTCTAGATATCTCATCCCTGAGGCAGGTTCATGTTTATCTTCCATACACTCAGCCATACTAGATGGTCTTTTGTTAAATAGATCTGAGGAAAGACCACATTCTATTCAATTTTATTACATCCTGAAAATAATGAATTCTTCTACCCTTGGAACATTTTGGCTTTAGCAGTGATTAAATTATAACAGCCCAAGTAGTAAGCAATGTATTGATAGTATTTTGACTACTTCTAGTATCTAAGATCATCACAGGCTGGGGATATGAGCTGATTGTGGAGGGTTAGAATTTTGTGCTGGGTTTTAAGCTAAATTTACCTTTGTCTAGATCAGAGAGGATTTTTCTCTGCATGAGCTGTCAGGCCGAAAAGCAGTAGGATTATGTCAGCCCACGGTGGCTGCACTCACCTGACAGCCCTGCCACTTCTCTTAGTCTCAAAGGAATTCTGACCTGCAGAAGAGTAATGTGTGTGTTTCTTAAATGCCTTCACCAAGGACAGAAATTTGGGGTGATTCAGAGCACTCCTACCTCCTCCCTGGGTTTTTATCACCAGGCGTCTCAGATGCAGTTTGGAGGAAAAAGCCAGCATAGAAGCCAAGGCCAGATGGGTGAAATCCTTGGCAAAAAGCTAAGCTAAGCTTCTGCCTTTGGGTCCCTGCCATGTTTATCCTTTTTTCCTCTCTCAGAATTTTTTTTTTTCTTGTCATTAGTCATTAAGTACCTGGCTTTTAGGATCATCTTTTAACAACCCGCTCCCTTCCCCCTTCTCTTTCTCTGCATTTACATTAACCAGGAAACAGCCCATAATAATCCATACTTGCCATGTGCTGGGTTCTGTGTTGAGTTCTCTAAATACATCATCCCAGTTCATCCTCTTGGGCAGATATGACTAATCTGCACTGCACAAGAACACTGACACCCAGAGAAGTATACAGATGGTCCAGACTGACACAGCTAGTAACAACAAGCAGGATTCACACCCGATCAGTCTGACCTGACTAGTGAGCATTTTGAGCTGTTATACAGAGCTTCCCAACAAAAGAGGAAAGTAACATGTTATTTTTAGACATCTGAACGCCCAGGTTTATCTGCTTAGCTCTCTTGAAGCTGAGCTAGGTTTGTAACTGAAATCTTTGGCTGTCAGCTGTGGTTGTTTCCATGCAACTGAGAACAAAGTAGGACTAAAAAGACCCAGGATGAAGCCATGTGAGGTTATTTGGCCCCTGGGTGGCTCTTGCTGCAAGCTTGTTCATCATTTCACAGACATTTACATCAAGCAGCGTCCTGGTTGTGTGTAACGCAGCATCCTATCTCACAGGTGCCTTTGATATCACTAAAATGTCTCCATCTCCTCCCCCTTCCCCTTTTCTGGGGCCAGGGAAGCCCGTTTGTAAGTCAGCACCAGTCCTGAAAATCCTGAACCTTCCACCTGCTTCCTGAGGCATGGTGTTTTTTTCTAATGTTTTGCCTGCCTTGAGGATCACAGGCTTGTCTACAAAGGCTCTAAGCAGCAACTTCAACAGCTAGTTCTGTGAGAGACTGAGAAATGTTTTAAAGAAGTTCTGAATAATGCCTCCCTACCCTTGACCTCTGCTCTTCCTTGTGAAGCCCAAAAAACTATTGTGGTGGTGACAGTGTTTGATGATGGTGATGGTGGTGGTGGTGGTGGTGGCATACGTATTGAGTAGGTACTGTGTTTCAG